ATTCAGCTTCCCCACCCGCGGATAACGCGTACGGCCCCGTGAAAGTTTTTTACGGGTAAGTTAATATCTCGGGAACCACGAAATTTAGGAAGCTGGAATTTTAGCGTAATGACTCACTGCCCGCGCTCAACCTTGCCCATTTAAATTCAGTTTTATCTTACCCGCGGGTAACACGTACGGCCCCGTGGAAGCTTTCCGCGAGTAAGTTAATATCTCGGGAACCACGGAGTATAGGAGGCTGAAATTTTAAGGTAATGGCCCCCTGCCCACGGTCAACCTTGCCCATTCAAATTCAGCCTTCCCTTACCCGCGGGTAACACGTACTTCCCCGTAAAAGTTTTCCACGAGTAAGTTAATATCTCGGGAACCACGGAGTCTAGGAGGCTGAAATTTTAGGGGAATGACCCCCCACCCTTGCTCAACCTTGCCCATTCAAATTCAGCGTTCACGCGCTCTCGGACACCACCTACGGCCTCGTAAAAATTTCGGCGGGTAAACTATTCGGGAATCACGAAAAGATATTCATCCTTCAAGGTTTCGAATTCAGCTTTCATGCGCTGATGCGTGGAATTTTTAACTGTTTTCCAATGTTTGAAGTATTTTTGCACAGACTAAAGCACAAAGCAGTGAAAATCATTAATAGGCAATCGTTCGATGGGCTGAATTGCACAAAACGCATGATCGCCGGCAGTCTGGTGCGCGTTGCTATTTATTTTGAATTGTTCGGCAGTAAAGGCAAGGATGGTGGCTACACGCAGACAGCACTGGAATTACTGCAAACATACAGCTTTCTGAACTGATACAACTGCTTAACAAAGAGCAATCTCATCCATTATTTCATGAATCAGTGCCCTCCTCTTCCCACAGTTCTAAACTCTAAAGAATTATACATATCCAGGCCCGGGCCATTTAAATCAGTATTGCTAAGCAAATGTACAAGGAAGTGGGGAGCAACCGAGATGGAATACCCGAATAGACTGAAAGACAGACACATGGACGCATACAAACACACACATACACTCACATCATGGATTTGCATAAATAAGCAAAAATGCATAAAAACCGGTACGGCGTTATAAGCGTAACAAAGCAAGGTATGCAGTTAAGTATCCGATTCAACGGATCCGTAATCAGCGGCCTGTTGCTTGGTCCAACGTTTAAAGCGTTTCCATCGAAGAGCAGCTCTAAAATGAAAAAACTGAGTTGGACCAGATAGAATTTACAATTTTAAATCCCGCCGGATGGGTCTACATGGCTGTCTTTTCAAACAGCTCGAAGTATCCGTACAGCAGCAGTGCGGCGCCTTTAAAAGCTCTCATACGCCCCGCTCCCCAGCGGTACAGGCATCAGTGCTGTAAAAGCCCGGGTCTAAAGCTAAAAGTAATTCTAAATTAAAGTAACTCTAAGCAGTATTGTTACGACTCTATCCCTACCTTTTGCATAGTTCCAGGATGGTAGGCGACTCTCCGCGCCCCTCATTTTCGTCCCCCCTTCTCCAAGGAGTCTGCCTGAATCCGCCTATGGTTGGAGAACCACTGCTTGTGAACGTAGCGCTTTAATTGCTCAAAACTGATGACAATCAAGAGATTAACTTACTTTCGCTGCATATCATTGGAGGGATGTGGTCGTCGTCTTCTTTTAGTTTTCGAACGATCCTGAGCAGCAGCAGTCACTTTACTGCGCCACCGTCCTTAATAAACATTTAGATGAGTACTGTTCATCGCATGAAAGTAACTCAAACACTCTAACCAGTTTTTATATGAACTAAGCGTTGTTCTGGGGAACACGAGTGACAACACCAAATCTTTGTTTCTATACGTTCCGGAAGTACCACAAAAGAGCAGTTTTCCACAAGAGAAAAGATCAAACTTTGAACACAAGTATATCATGCAGGCATATTTCAGGACAAAACACCGTGTGCCGCACGTATGTTTCGATTCTTCTCCAACAAAAAATTATGTGGTAAGGCTTGCGGATGGGGAAAATACATTTTCAGTCTTTTTTTGTCAAATAAGCAAAAAAGAAAAAAAAGGAGCGCATCGGTGGCACTTTTAAAAGTGCGGTAAATGATGCTGCATGAGAAAACAAAACGCTACTCTTCCGTATGACGTTCTGTCTTCGCCACCGGGACATCCAACCTCTCTACGAGGCGCTCATTCGTTTCGACGGTAAAGTGGTGTTGACGTATGCAGGGCGGGGAAGGGGGAAGGTGAGAAGGGGGCAGGG